GTGGGGCACCCCTCTCATCTCAATCTTCAGAAGGCTGAAGTAGGAGACTGCTGTGAGTTTGAGCCCAGTCTGAACTACATAGGAAGTGCCAGTCCAGTCTAGGTTCTACAGCAAGATGCTGTGTTAGCGCCAAGGATTCTGCACAGGACATGGTGGCACAGCTGCACTGGGAAGCTGATGCAGCAGGCTTGTGGGTCTATGGGCAGCCTGGACCACATGGGGTACTGGGGGTGGGGGGCAGTGAGTTATACCAGGTGGGTGGAGGGATGCTAAAGGATGACAAATAAGTGAACACAATGAAGTTTGGGGCAATAAAACTATTCTACATAGTGCTGTTTTGGTGGATATATGACACATGTATTTGGAAAAACCTACAGAAGTCTACACAGGAAGGGGTGAACGTCTGAGGGGTGGAGGTGAGAGTCCAGGGAAGGAAGTGAGTGTTGCCTGGAGCAACAAGCCTGTGCTATGATGATCAGTGTATTTATAAGACCAGAACTGACGTAAAAATTGCAATAGAGAATAGACTTTGTGGAGAGAAACAGGAGGGCAAGTTCAGAGAGAATGAATTTGAATCACACCCCTGAGAAGAATTTTTTAAAAGCAGTTAAGAAAAGTTACCTGGCTTTGACTATTGGACCGTTTGTGTGGAATTGTATTTGAATAAAGTTCAAAAGAGGAGCTTAGTATCCTGAGTTAGTAACCAGCACCTGTCCTCCCTGAGACTGGCCATTTGGGGTGAGGCACTACGGACCATTATGAGTTAGAATCCAATTCTCTGTATAAGCCACTGGGTCAGCTTCTGAGCAGCTGTGGTCTGACTTCTACAAAGTGAGGGAATTTTGTTTTTTGGTGTTGAACTTTCTGTCTCTACCATGATGGTCTGAGAAAGGTGATGAAGGTCTCAGTTAGGGAACCCAGTCTGCAGAAGTCTGACGACCCAGTGAGGAGTTGCAGTTCCCAGAACTCTGATGGTCTGAGGGTGTGGGTGTGACTCCAGGAAAGACTGACGCAGGATAGAAAGTGAATTGAGGAGTCACAGGAAGGGAATGGAGCCTCCCACTATCCGGGAAACAGAGGGAACTGATAGTGGGGTGAGGTATGAGGGAAGTTATAAATTATCGAGAAAATGAAGAGCAAATTGGCCCAAGTAGACAGAAAGAAAATATAAGAGAGTGGCATAGAAAATAGAAGCACAAGAGAGAGACCAAATATCGGACTTATATGAAGATAACAGATAGGAGCCGCTCTGTCATAGGCCCTGGAAGCCGTCCTCTTTCACCTTCTGGGCCTGCAGTGTACCTGGTGCTGTGCCTTTTCAGTGGAGTTTTCATTCTTTATAGACTTA